TAAATCATTAGTTCATCAAAATGTGCAGATTTTGTGGGATTTTCTTGAAAATGCGCGACAGAAATTCAGCTAAAATTTCTACGCGAGGAACGATCTGGAGTATGAGTAATATCTTCATTCTTTGCAGTTTGTCACAGATTAAATGATAAAGTTTGCATGATTTTGAAAAAAGAATGATTATTAGCAAATTATTGGGGGGGGGCTGCAGCCCCCCCAGCCCCCCCAGTTGCTACAGCCCTGATGAAAGACCCATGTGTTGAAAAACTTGCTGAACTTTGGTGATTGATCCACCAGCCAGCAGAATTGCCATAGATAGTAGAAAGTTTCCAGCAGAAATTCCTAGATTTGGCATGTTTGGTTGACTGTGCCAAGTAGAAACCTTCTGCTTGCATGTTGGGTTACTGCATCTCGTGGTTACAACAACTTTTGTACCGACTCGACATGTCTCAATCAAAGGGTTGTCAGACTTGCAGGAATGGCAGAACTGGAACAACAGAAGGAGTTGTGTCCAGAATACAATGAATTTTGGTTCTGTTCGGATATTTCCATCTATTGTTGGTAGTCTGTGAAGTAAAAACACTTTCTTAGGTGGGAAAAACTGTACCTGCCCAGACTTTGAGGGAGGAAATTTTAATCTGGGAAGACAATTCTTGTCTTGTTACTAGTTTGTGTCTACACTATTGACCGTTCTCTGGTACTTGTAGAAGTTTACTGTACCGGTATGTTAAAGAAACTTACTGAGCTTCTGGTTCATCTTCCAGATCATCTTCATCTTCTGAAGCAGATATATCATCAGTTTCCATCACATAGGGTTGATCCATTTCACTTTCTTCTTCATCATCACTTTTCATATTGTCGTCAGAATCCAGATACATAATTTCTCTCCTCTCCTTATTCTTGTCTTCTTGAAGCAGTTCTTCAAGATAGCTTACTATAGAGGAATATCAATATAGAAAAAGAAAGCAAGCTAAGTATATATCAGGCAAATGAAAGCATGCCCTCTTACGTAAATCCAGATGGGTTTTACGTTTTTTTCAATTCTGTTGCTAAAGACCAAGGGCAGGTATGACACGAACAGAAAAATGCCCCACCCATGAGCAAATGTTTCAGTTTCAATTCTGTGAGTCTTGGACATGCATAAAAAGCTAATGTTGCATGACGTCTGACTGATATACTGCTGGCACATATACACAATAATAATACATAATTTACTTTTCCATGCATTATTTCCATTTTTGATTTTAAAAATTAGGCTTATTGACAGTGCACACACCTTTACGTTTCATATTTCTCAGTTCTCTTTTCCTCATTTTCTGGCTTGCTTGAAGAGAAAGGACTTTATTTTTTAATCTTCTGTTTGTCTCAAGCAATACATCGTCTTCTTTGATCTTTCGCAAATTTTTGTTCTCGTCTTTTTTCGAGCATTCGTCCATTTGCTTGGCATTTGTATCTGAATCTGAATGGCTAACCACGCTAAGCTGTTCCTAAGCAATCAAAAATATCTATGTAAATTGTTGGGAATGTATATACATATTCTCACATGTCTTATAATATTGAATCGACTTGCAGAGACGCAATTTTTTACTTACTATCTCATCACAGCAACTTTTATTGACCGGTATCAAGATCTCCTCTGGCTCTGCACTCAAAGTCGGTTGATAGTTCGTCCTCCTCGGTGTTCTGGTAGATTTCTTGGCAGAAGGCTGTGACACTATGTTTAGGGAGCTATCATCTGCTTCTTTGTCAATTAAATTCCTTATAACCTTGTGGATGGAAAAAGAGTAGACGAAACCGTAAGTGATTTGATAGCTGACAAATAATAACCAACTAATGTTAAAATTTGAAACGAAACAACAAATAGTACATACCAAGCGCTTGCTTCTCGTACTTTGATTCTGGTTGATCGCAACTTCCTTCGATGACGAAGCATGGATGGTAGGATAAACGCAAACTCCCAGTTCGTCAGTCTTTAGCTTCTGATAATTTGGCATGCTGAGTCCCGGCAACGAAAAAGATCGCCTCTCGTAATCCTCTGGCGTGAAATGGTCGGAGCATATAGTCGAAGTCTTCGAAGGCACAAACAAACGCTTCGATGATACAAAGTCAACCCACAATTTTCTCCTTCTCTTAGCTTCAGCGCATTCGTCGTTGAAGAATGGAATAGTATGTAAACTTATTCCATCTTTTAAGCTTGCTTTGTTGGTACAGTTAGCAGCAACACAATAAAAAGGCATATCTTTTACTATGAATATCGCGATGAAAAAATTTGCATACTAACGCGCCAACATTGTATAAGAATAATATAATATCAATATTACTCACTTGCGTGACGTAACAAATGATGCTCGTTCCAGTTCCTTAACAGTTTATTTTGACCACGGACGCGTGCCATCGAAAAGCCTAATTTTGGCGTGTTCAAACCGCTCTAAAATTTTTGCTTTTTGACGAAATCAAAAAATTCTTTCACCAAGACACTCCACCTAATGTGTACTTTCATTAGACAAAAAATTTTTGACAAAAAATGTTTTGGGGCACAGGTCAGGGGCACTTTAAGTGGACATAATCTCAATTGGAATATTCAAGTCATTGTGTAATGTGACTGTGCTTTAACTGCTACTCTCCATGTCAACCTCTGTTACTGTAGTTTGTGTCGAATCTGCTCTGATTGTTGTCACATTGTCTGACATAGTAAGAGTAACACACCAGAAGTGGAAATACTTACAGAGTTCTTTAATATTTAATTTACCCGTCATGTATGTCGGAAATCAAATAATAAATACGGATGGCATTGACGATATTTCCTGTCGATATTTCCTGAATATTCTGAAAAATCACGATATTTCCACGATATTTCCTGAATATTCTGAAAAATCAAGAGAATTTAATAAAAATCGGGAGACCCGGAGATTGCATGAATTTTCGGGAGATTCCTGGTAAAATCGGGAGAGTTGGAATGTCAAGAGTCCAGATGTTAGGATTCACCGGAAAAAAGTGTATAACCACAAACAAAGTCAGAACAATGTTGTTTTAACATACTTACCTGTCTATTTGTGATATTAATATGACTAAACAAGGAAACTGAGTCTCCAAGACAAAGACAAAGAAAAGCATGAATATGAAGATGTTTAAAGTGCATACCAGTGCAGGGCTTTATCCAAGCACTTTTGCTGACCCCCGTTTTAGAAAAGAAGATTCAGTTGTTGTGACGCATGAATCTAGGGGCAAAGTCCCTGAAATCTTTTGCTATTTCAGCATCTTAGATCATTTTGCTTGAATGTAACCGCATGGTTTGTGAATGATGTAATCTTATGTAAAGATTTGCGCAATACCAAAGAGGGCCATGCATCGATGTACTTGTATTCGAGCATATTTTTTCTGTGGCTTCTTCACTCTTTCAGATCAAGGTTGCATAAATTTTAGATTCTAGTTTGAAAAATTTACTTTCTATATGTAATTTTTGTTATTCTTCAATCATCCCATTTCATTTTGTGCTGATTTGATCGAAATTGTCATCAGAAATCCAAAAATGCATGCCATCTAAGCATGATGGGGCATAAAAAGACAAAAAATACAATATAGGTAGCTTTATAACATAAACAATAACACACGGTGGGCATAAAAGACAGCGAATTTGGCCAAGTACATATAACTTTCTCTCGTTAGTTTGGAATATCACGAAACTCCCTCACAGGATAGAACTTAACATTCCTAAAAATCGTATGTTTTTTGTTTTTCGATTTTGTTACATTTTGGCGGGAAAATGACATGCTAACTTTGGCGCCAAAAAATTAAACACAAGCTAAGAACATGCTAGTAACTTTTTTGAAAAGATTGTCCTATAAGGATCTCAAAACTGTAAAAACATTAAAAATACAACAAGGCAGTGCGAAGATATGGCGATTCAAATTTCTATTTTTACTGAAAAATCAGCCATTTTGTTACTAAAAACAGATTTTTTTCGAACTTTGAATCGCCATATCTTCGCACTGCCTTGTTGTATTTTTAATGTTTTTACAGTTTTGAGATCCTTATAGGACAATCTTTTCAAAAAAGTTACTAGCATGTTCTTAGCTCGTGTTTAATTTTTTTGGCGCCAAAGTTGGCACGTCATTTTCCCGCCAAAATGTAACAAAATCGAAAAACAAAAACATACGATTTTTAGGAATGTTAAGTTCTATCCTGTGAGGGAGTTTCGTGATATTCCAAACTAACGAGAGAAAGTTATATGTACTTGGCCAAATTCGCTGTCTTTTATGCCCACCGTGACATGTCGTTTTATTCTGAAAAAGGAACAGCTAAAATAACCCTGTTTCTCGGAATTCCAAACACTAAAGCGTGTGCAAATGATTTTTCGTTGTTTTTTTTTTTCTTTCGAGGTAAGATTCAGTTTAAAAATCCAAGATTGAGTTTTGACCTCTGTTTACCGAAGGTCAGCAGGTGCTTGGATAAAGCCCCGCAGCAGAGTCTTTCTCAAGAATATCTATAAGAAACATAAAATTGTGCAAGAACATCTGTGAGTCTTTGCCTGTGAACCTGCAATCAAATTCTTTACCAGTACCATTGGTTTCTAATGTTCTTATAAAATAATAGTTCTAATGTTCTTATAAAATATTTCTAATTGTCAAATACAAACTCTAAAAAGTTCTTCCCCACTTTGGTGCAGCCATTATCTTACTTAAGCGCGCAAAAGTCAGTCCGAAAGACATTGTAAACTTCTACTGTACAGTTATCAGGCCCATTTTGGAATATTGTGCCCCGGTTTTCCATTACTCAATCCCATCCTTCCTGTCAGAAGATCTTGAGACGGTACAAAAGCGAGCACTGAAGACACTGAAGATCATTTTACCCGCGAACTCATATAGCGAAACTTTAGAATATTTCAATCTTCAAACTTTGTTCCAAAGACGCGAAGAAATGTGTAACAAACTTTTTACAAATATTACTAACAATCCGACACACAAACTGCATAATTTACTGCCTCCCAAACATGAGTCGGTTTACCAACTCAGGAACAATAGACTGTTTGAACGATTCGAAACTAATACAGAAAGATTTAAAAAAACTTTTATTCCTATGTCTAGTAACTTAAGTTAATGTAATTTTTAGTACTAAGCGTTTTAATGACTATTTGTAAATATGCCTAAATTAACTCATATTCTATCTTTTAAATAATGTTTTATATACTCTTGTAAATCACGCAATTCAGCTGTCCAGCTGCAAGGTGAATTTTAAATACACTATCTATCTCATAGCAAATGATCTGTCACCCAATCATACCCAATCACATGCAACATTGGGTGACAGATCATTTGCTATGGCTGCAAGTTATGGCTTGCCCTGCGATATTAAGAACGCAAACAGTTTAAAGAAATTCAAGGGACTTTTGAAAACTCGCTTTTTTCGTTTTGCTTTTTCATAGAACTTTTTAGAGTATAAATTTGACTATAAGAAATATTTTATAAGAACATTAGAACTATTGAAATATTTTTTAGAATTTTAGATTACTGGAAGATCTATATCGATCAGTTAGGAAACATTCATATTGGGATTTGTCTATTATTGATCATGTAAAGCACATTTGATCATTTAGTCATGGAAAATGTGTTATAGAAGTTTTTAATTACAATTACAAGTTTCATTAAACCACCAAATCATTTTGTTAGCCAACCTTGAAAGAGAGCATTTCGATCGCAATGATTCAACATACTTAAAAAAATATATAGAGATGAAACCTGAGAAAAACAGTTAACTGAAGAGGGTAAGTTAGCATTGCACGGGCAATATGCAGAATATGACGATGGGCTAGAGCACAAGCATTATTCTTTAAGTCCAGGAGGTTACATTGCTCCGCTTACTACTTGCAGATAACTTGAACTTGGCTAAAGATGAGCCTTTCAACCTGTCTTGCCACCTTGAGTCTCAGGATACTTCCAGGGCTTCTAAGTGTCAGATGGTAGTGGACCAAATGTACCTGTGATTTTTCGAGCAGACTCCAAGGTGACATTACCAAAAGATGAAAATAAAACTTAGCACTGTTAGACGATTCTTCCCCTAGAAGAGCTAGCATTTTCATGTCATTGGGTATTTAACACTTTCTGTGTTGGTGTAATGTAATCAGGTGAATATGATGCTTGATGTTACTCTGAGTGTTTATCCACACTGGGCAAGCTTAAAATATGCCTGGCTATCTCATTGTTGCATGAAATAGTGTAAGTTGTGTTCTCAATCCTTGTTATGTCAGTTAGCAATTTTTGCAAGAACCGTGTTAGCAGGACACAATTCTCACTGCAATTGGCCCCCAAAAGAAGAAAATTTTCGTTTGAACTTAGCACACCCTGACCAATATTTAAACTTACAAGCCATGCACATGCCAAATCGTCTTTACCAAAAGGTGCCTCATCTCCACCTAAAGCAACATGAAATTTGTTAGTTTCAGTGAAAGTTAGTAACTCACTTAGTATTGTGCTCCTGTTTTCCATCATGCTCTCCCTGCATATTTATGTGATGACCTTGAGCGCATTCAAAAGCGTGCGCTGTCCATAATATCCCCGGGGTTATCATATACGGACAATCTTATGAAATTGAATATAAGTTCCTTGAGAGACAGACGGCTAAAACTGTGTAAGAAACTATTTCAATCAGTTATATCTGATACCGAGCACAAACTTCACCATCTTCTGCCACCCAAGAATATCTCAGCATATAATCTGAGAAGACAGCGACCTTTTGACTGTCCGACCACACGAACAAATCGTTTTAGGAACACTTTTGTTGTTTCTATGTCAACGGAGTAGTTTAAAAGGATATTGGTGGGGTTCTGATATGACTTCCACCACCACTGCCGCTGCCTCGCGTCAACCATTTGCTTTTATACATGTTTTTGGGTCTTTCTAGTTGTGCTTACAACTTTGGTTGATCTCTATTTTAGCGGTGGTGGTGGTGGGGACATATCTGAATTTGCGCTGATGTCATATAATATGTAATACTATTACATTCAGTAATATGTAATTGTGTATGTGTTGTTTTTAATTTGCTTGTAATATGTAAGTTTTGTTAATTTATGCAATTCAGCCAATTCGGCTGCCATGTAAAATCTATTAAACTATCTATCTATCTATCTATCTATCTATCATGTGGAGATATAGTAACTAGAGTGTTAGTAACTCATGGAGAGATAGAACTCAGCCAACTTGAGAAGTAGTTCATCAAGTTCACGATAACAGCCACTTACCTTGTCTTTCTCATCCAAGCCATCACAAAGAGTATGACCGCAACATATTTTCACTGGTATGTTCAAACTAATCAACTGCCTTCTTCTATAATTTTGGAAACACTTCTCCTTCAACTTCTTGCATTTAACAATACCACCTGTCAACAAGATCATTTTCTGAGCATCTTTTATTAAGTGTATAGAGGAAACGAGCTGTACTAGCCTTAAAACTTCCTTCCCCTCCTCCATGGATATTCCTTGTTACCTCTAGGGTTTCTGCACTACGCCTTCTCATTGTTCTCTCACTGCAGCCATCTGTTTCAACTTTTCTTTGCCGAGGCTAGTATTGAAAATCAATATAAAAAAACATACGATTTTAGAAGAGCAAACTGGCTTTCAGAATTGAGTAAATTGTAGAGCTGATGGAAAATAAAACAAAAGTTATTTTGAAAATAAAAAATGTGAATTTTTGCAAAATTTCCAGCGAGCACCATTGTGTTGCAAAAGCCTTTACTTTTGACAACAAAACCTGTCAAAAGGTATGCGTAACCATAGCAATAGTGGTATCATTGTGATCCTTTTATTATCCACTATTAATCCCTGTAATCATCATTTGTTCATGGATGACCTATAAATCCTCAATGTGCTCTAAAAAAGCACACTTTTCGAAAAATAATTTTGCTCCTAGTCTCCCAAAATTTTGCATGCGGTCACGGGAAAAATTGTTATGCCCAAGTTTAGCCAAATATGTGACAATTTATGCCAAGTGTGGTATTTGGTTGAAGTCCATGCTTAACCTTAAACATCAGTGTAGCTATGTCCTGCAAACATCTGTTTCATACAAACATCAGTGTAGCTATGTCCTGTAAATGCTTGTTTTGTAATATTGACAGTTTAGCATGATGAGTAATCCTTGTAAAAGGAATGTACAGTAATTCATTAAAATATGACAATAAAGGCCAATTTTCCCACCAATATTTCGAAAATAAATATTCCAATTTTCATTAAACAGCCAGAAATTACATACTAAATAACAATAAAGGTTATTGACCATGTTTATAGACAGCAAATTAAGGTAGTAATTAATATGGCCAAAAGTACAATTACAATTAAGGTCTGGTTTAGACAGAGCAAAATAAGAAAATGGGGCACATTGCCACATAAAGGGTTAAACACCTATACAGTGCACCCAATTAAAGGGAATTTTTTTAGCTTTATATTCATAATATAATATAATATAATATAATATAATATAATATAATCAAGTCAAAAGTCACTTGTAATATTGCTACATGTAGCTAATTAATTTACCATTTACAGTAACAAGCACTTAAGTGGTTGTAAGTTATTTTATAAATATTCTATTACAATCACAAATGTTTGTAACTATACATATATCATTATGTCTTAACAAGAGCCCGATGGATACTGTGTTTTATAATATAGCATTTGTAAATTCTGAACGCTGATTGGCTAAGAGCCGTGTTGATATAACTCAATGTCAACATTGGAAATTTTCCACCAGTTGTAAACAGGGAATTTTTCTTATCCTTCGGGCTTTTGACATTGCTATATTATAAAAAAAATATGAAACATTTCTTCTGTATTGATATATAGTTAAATCAACACTCGTGGAAGTTGAGAAAACTCGAAATTGTATGAAAACACTCTGCCCTTCGGGCGTCGTGTTCTGCTTGCTCTTGTGGCATGCTCGCTTTAAGGTGCAAAATTAATTTCTCTTGTCCTGGATGTGCGCATGTTAACACTTCACTACGTTTGGAATGACATGGTTGATGTGCCGTTTAATAAAATTTCAAATGACGCGAGCCAACACAGATCACGACACTTTTGTATGTAAAAGAGTGTGTGAATTAAACAAGTCATATTAGCACTGATGAAGATCCGGGCTTACGGATCGAAAGCTTTTCATTAATAAATTTACATGGTGTTTCCACAAACAAAAAGTGTTATATGTTTTATATTTGTTAAATATTGTACTATATTATATTTTATTAAACAAGGAAACCATACCGGTTGATTTTCAACATGAACGTGAGAAAAACAATTCAACCAACACCTGGCATAGCCATCCTTTGAGTGAACTGTAATTGCCTTCTCAACCATATTTGCTAATGTTTAACAATTCAGTTCTCTTCTGTTCTAGCATCATAAAGAACTGGTATGTGTCATTGGTGATGTGGAGTAGTCCTCTTTCTCTGCACTGTCACCCTTCAGTTATCTGCACTGTCTCAGGATACATGTAATTCTTTTCTAACTTGACAAATGGAATCAGAACATTTTCTTCCAAAAAGTCACATAATTCTTGCTTTGTGCAAACAGTTGAAACAGTGACTGGATTTGCATTGATGTATTGTGTATATTTCATAAGAGAACTTTGAATATGGGCATTGTGAAAACCTGGAATGCCGGAATATCATGGAATATGAATATGGGCATTGTGAAAACCCGGAATATGACATTTTCCCGGAATATACCGGAACATACATCATGATATTTTCCAATGGTAGCCAATGCAACAGTTTATAAACATGGATGTCTGACAACATATTTTATTACAAAAGTGATGGATCTTTCCCATTTTGACGGTAAGTTACAAACAATAACTCTATACTGGAAGTTTTTTATGTTGTTTATATAATTATTACGAGTGCTCATCAAAAATTTTGAATCAATATAATTAATTCCTCCTGAGTTGCAGCATCTTGAAAAATAAAAGGCTGACGTCAGCATTATTTTCGAATTCCTTCAGAACTGTGTTATACACAAAATTTAGTTAAAAGTTCTTGGTTAAGGTTAAGATGCGACTTCCTACCTGATATAAACAAGAATTTAAACATCTTGGCTCAAACTTGCTTTTATTTTAGCATTTGATTTTTGGATATTCCTTGGTGGTATATCCAATGGTCAATTTTATATTGCCAACTGACTTATCCAAAAATCAAATGCTAAAAGGCGAGTTTGGGCCAAGATGTTTGAATTGTTGTTTATATCAGGTAATAAGTCCCGTCTTAACCTTAACCAAGAATTTTTAACTAAATTTTGCGCATATCTGAAGGTGTTCGAAAATAATGCTGACATCAGCACTTTTATTTTTCAAATGCTGTAACTCAGGAGGAATTAATTGTATTGATTAAAAATTTTTGGTGAACACTTGTAATAATAATATAAACAACATATAAAATTTCCAGTATAGAGTTATTGTTTGTTACTTGGGAAAGATCCATCACTTTTGTGTTGTCAGACGTCCATGTTTATAAACAGTCGCATGGCTACCCTTGGAAAATATCGTGATGTTTACATATATTCCGGGAAAATGTTGTGATATTCCCCCATATTCGGGCATATTCCATGATATTCCGGCATATTCCGTGATATTCTGTGATATTCTGGCATTCCGGGTTTTCACAACACCCCTTTGAATATTGCACATCCACCATACCAAACTTTGGATTGCCCCTCGCCACTCATTTTTTCCACCTTATAAATGCAACGTCTGATCTTTTATGAACCTGTCTAACCATACTTAATTGACAACCTAGGAACTCTTCAAATATCTGGCTGCTTAATCGTATTATAATAACCCTTTGAGCCACTGTTGGTTGATCACAAGCAAAGATTGCACTGACATATAACTTGAAAAATAATGACCAATGTAAAAACCATGCAACCCTGCAACAGCTTCACTGATGTCCCAAATTGAACGTAATTTCATCAGTGTTTTGAGAAAGATGATCCCCAATCAGTTATATACATGCATGATTCCAGATAATTGAAATCAGAGCATGCAGTCGGTGATCATTTTCTGTTGTCACCAGTAATCAACTACCAAGCTCTGTTCCTTCATTAATTTAATACACCTAATGGTCAATTCTGTTTGAAAGTAACCAGATGTTTGTTCAAGTTCTTAACACGTTGAGGAGAGGGCAATGCATGGCTGTCATACAAGATGCTCACAGGTGATGGCATGCAATTTTGAATATTTGCTTCCTGAATCGGGATGCGAAATTCTCATTGGTTAGATGCTACAATTTATATGTTTCTGCTGAGCTCTATTATATGTCTTTGCAAGTTAAAACTGGTATCACAATATCAGAATTAAGTTGAGACATACTTCCATAATCAACAATCAAATTATTTCAACAATCAAAGTTGAAATACAAAATATGCCATGAATTACGCCTGTATTCTGAAAGCTCACTCATACTCAAAAAGAGTGGAGATTTAATCTGTCTTTAGTGCCAGTGCTGTTTTTGAATAGCTGGAGGGTGAATAGTTAGAGTTGGTTACGACACTAACCCTCCAGCTATTCAAAAACAGCATTGACACTCAAGAGATCACCAGATTCAACTTCTACTCTTTGAGTGTGAGTGAGCTTTTAGAATACAGGCGTTAATGACAATGCAAGCATACTGTAAACAGTTCCAAGTCCTCTGGCTGTTACCAGAATTTTTTCTTGGTATTTGCATGCTTTGCGCTTGTGGCCAATCTTCCCCCTGAAAATCCTAATGCACATATCAACGACCTGCCCGGGGGGTACACCCCTGGGACAACCGGGGGGAAACGAGGGGGAATTTGGTATTTTATCTGTGAACCCCGGGGAAATTACAAACTTTGCAATAATAGGACGACAGGGGGAGGGGAAGTAGAGGACTTTGATGTGACAATTTGAATTTTATAAATGAAGTGCACAATTGGTGCGAACTCAAAATCGCAGGCTCATAGAGAAAAATATCGATCGCCAACTTATTATTTATGATATTTTGTAGTGGTCTTGCTAAAATTTGAATAAATAAATACAGAATACATGAGTGCCAT